TATATATAGTATATATATATATATATTTATATATATATATATATATAAAGGAGCGGATCTAGCTTTTTTTTTGAGGGGTGCTGGCTGCGACGATGGAGAGTTTTTTTCTGACCTCCCGGAGCTTATTAGGAAACCCCCCCTCCCCTCGGTTATTAATTTGAAACAATATAAAAAATTTTTGCCATTTTTTTACTATGAGAAAAATATTTTTCTCAATAATAGATGAAAATATGAACAACCAACCAAAAAAACTATTTTACGCTTTTTAAAATTCCGACCCTTCGGTTTATTAAGAAACTCCCCCCCTCTCCCCCGTTTATTATATTTTAGAAAAGTTTCCGACCCTCTTATTTATTAGAGTACAGTGCGAAAGTGATTTTGTGTACATAAAAATATTTTGTATGCAAAGTAATACAGCAACTATATATTGGCAGTGATCGACCGTTATATAAAGAATCAATCAATAATGATACAATAATTTTATGACCCCAAACAATGAACACACAATTTGTTTATTATTCGTATGACATTTAAACTATAAACTAGGAATAACATAAGAATTGAACAGTAAAACCCAGTTTTGAAATGTTAAAAGTAAACAAATTTCTTACCCTAACTGTGCTAAATTTCCTTTTCTAAGCTGTTAGCTTATGACCAATAAAGTAAATTTCAAATCATGAAACTTTACTAAATTAAAACCATATTTCAACAGTAGGAAAACTAAAATAAAATAGTTACAAAATGAAGAACTGATAAAAAAAACTGTTAATAAAAATCTAGTTTCAATGGAACTTAAAATTTGCTTCTAATATGATCTTTAAACAGAAACTTGAAAATATAAAAAGTAACCATCTAGTTTAACTTCTAAAAACACCTGTGTCATGCACATTATATTGCAATTATAACACAATTGTATGAAAAGTCACTATTAAAAATAATTAATACTATGATATATAAAATATATAATTATACACGATAATTATTTATAAATTGTAACAAAAATAATAACAATAATAATAAACTCTTACACTAAATACATCAATAATAGTGAATAGATTTAATAACATTATATAACACTGTTTATAAACAAAATTATGTAACAGTAATAAAATAAATATTCTGAGTTTCATGATATTCTGGAGCCATTTATTTTCCAAGGATATTTCCCAAAAATATAAATAAAAATGTAAGAACAGACTTATTTTTAAATCCAGTTATAATTTAACTTAAATTATAGTTAAACTATAATTATAACTATCAATAATGCTAATTTATTAACAATGAAAACTTTATAATTATGTCTGATAACTCAAACTTTTACTAAGTCAGCTTTTCAATTCCTATTGAGCTTTCTATACATAACGAGAGCTTCCCCTAACTCTGACATTCACCAAGTCTGATTATTTATCTATTTCCCTTGAGAATCAGACTTAACAAGATTCTACTGTATATATTTTTTGAAGTATAATTTCATGCTTAAAAAATACAAAAAAAAAAAACAGAACTTTCTAGAACTTTCAGAACTTTCTAGGACCACTATTTAAATTACTCTATAAAATATATAAAACAGTAAATAATATATTTATATTATATTATTAAATAAAACAGTTTAAATTGGATCAGAATTTAAAATATTACAAGTTTCATTCTACGAGGATTTTTCCTAGCAAAACAATCAATCACTTCATTTACATCGATGCTGATATCTTGGTGAACGTGCATTAAAGCATGACTATTAAATCTATTCTGTGACATTGTGTTACGTAGATAGGTTTTTAAACGACGAATAACAGAGATTGATCTTTCGCAAGTGCATGTTGCTACTGGATTAGTTGCAAGAATTTGAATAAAGGTAACTATATTAGGAAAAGTTATTCTATCAATAAGAGAAAGGAGTTTGGTCAGAGTAGTTGGAAGGGAATTTTTAAAACTATGCCAATAATCTTCCCACATGTTCAATTCGGTCATGATATACCGTGGTTCCGGAAGTTCATCCTCATACTCATTTGAAAAAAGAAGAAAGTTGCTTCTCCATTGAGCAACATTTAAAACGTTAGTTGGCACTGCAAAGAATCCATTATAAACAGCAATGTTTTTATTAGAAAAACGTAATTGAATCTAGGATGATAAATGGTCAAGAAAAGGAATTGTAATGACTTTCTTGTAATACTCATTAATAGATTCACTAGGACAATTATTTCGATTAAGCTGTTTTCCTATTGTACGAGGCTTGTGCTCATAAACACCAACACTAGCTGCCAATACAACTGCCTCACTATACCAAGCACCATGACTGTGCTCAACGTCTGATCTTAGTCGCTGAAAAGCAAGATGTAACAAATTTATTTTTTCATGCGATGCAAAAACATCAAAGTTTGAAGATTGAAATTGTTTTGTAATTGGTCTTGTTACTTCCAAACAGCGAGACACCACTACTAAAGTAACAAGAAACTGAAAAAATCTAGTAGCAAAGAAATAACTATTTGCATCACGCACTGAGTCATGGTTCCAAGACTTTTCATTGTTATTAATCATTAGCTCAAAGCATTTAATTATAGCAGGAAGTACCTCTACAAACACATCTAAACCATCAATTCTGGCAATCCATCTTGTACGACATACATCTATTAAACGAGAGTGATGAGCTTTTGGAAACATTTCTTCCATTTTTTTTTTCAGAACATCAAAACGCTATGGACTAAAATTAAAGAACTGAGATATAACACGAACATTTGACATCATATTGCTAACTATCTGTATGTTACAGGCATTTGCAACACAAAGATTGAGGACATGAGATCCACAATGAACATACAATGCTTTTGGATAAATAGTTTTTATTCTTACTGCAAAACCGGAACAGTTCCCAGCCATGTTACCAGCACCGTCATAACCTTGACCAACACAAAATTTCATTTCTAACCCCAAATCTTTATTACTATTCAAAATTTGGCTGCCTATAGCTTCTCCAGACAAGCCTGAGTCGCAAGGAATAAACCAAAAAAATAGTTCACAAATTTCACAACTATTATTTACAAAGCGTAATACTAGTGGCATTTGTTCCATATTGCTCACATCAGATGCTTCATCTGCTAATATTGAAAAAAATTTAGCCTTTTTAACTTCACATTTCAATTTAGAAATTATTATGTCATTACAAATATTAATCAACTCATTTTGAGTAGTTTTAGAGCGATATGTAGCATTTTTTGGAGTAGAAATTCGCCCATTCACCAAACTGTTTTCTGCACAATCCGATATTAATTTCAAAATTGATTGAAGATTGCCAGAGTTACTATTTTCATTCTCATAGTAAAATGAATCATCTCTGTGACCTCGGATAGGTATGTTTTGTTTTCCACACATAATAATTGCCAGAACTATTGGTTTTAATATTTCTCTATTTTTCTTGACTTGTTCATCAATTACTTTGTTGAGATTTAAGTCAATAAAATTTATCTTTTGCTCCATACATTGGCGAAAATGAGTTGCCTTTAGAGTTGCAGTTTGGTGAATTGGCAAACTTTCAGCATGTTTATTAAACTTATTAATGGCCTTTGAATATGCCACAAATGGAGATTTATAAAGCTGAACAAGTTTACTTGCATTATGACTTGATTCTTCAGATCCAAAAATAACACAATTAACACAATAAGCACCTTTTTTAATTTCTGAATATGCAAGCCAAGAGTATAATGAGAGCCAAGAGAATTAAAAGGAACGACCTGAAGGAACAACCTGAAGGAACGACCTGAAGGAACGACCTGAAGGAACGACCTGAAGGAACGACCTGAAGGAACAACCTGAAGGAACGACCTGAAGGAACAACCTGAAGGAACAACCTGATTTATTGGATTCAAAATGAAAACTAGAGCTTGGTTTATAAACATTTTTTAGTAAATCATACTTATCTTCATTGCCTAGTTAATTAATTCCATAAGTATTATAGAGCCCGATATCGTATTAGTTTACAAAAGATAGTTCACATTTATTTCCAAAAGCAGAAGAACTACTACAGAAAAAACGAGGAATAAGAAAAATTTGTTGCAATATTGATAGATTCTGATATGACACTGAGTGTTCTATTATTTTTACAAAAAGAATTATATGCTTTTTGGGAAATAATAATAGAAAAAGCTGTGTTTTCATCGATTCTTCGAGATTTGGTAACATCAGTTTGAGAAAAAATAATTGGATGGTTTAAATAAAAACCTACATTTGTATATAATTCGATACTGGTCAGGCATCTAAGGTATTCTGACAAAGATTCGTTGCCAATTAATGATATAGAACAAGCATTAAATAAACAGTTTCCGTTTGGAGAAGTTCTAATAATAAAAAAAAATTAATATAAGCGAAGCAACATAATTTATGTTATGTCACAAAATAATTATTACATAATTTTATATCATAAAATAACTTACTAGTAAATGATTTACTAAATGTAATTTTGGTATTATTCAAACATAAAATAAATGATAACATAATTGATTATTTTCTCCTTAAAATATGATATAAATATATTATATACTTTTTTTTTTAGTAAAATTGTGTTCATGCTTAAGTATATATACTTAAGGATGAACACAATTTTACTTAAAAAAAAGTTTTTTAAATTTAAGCACCTAGAACAAAATTTTACACATCTTTCAGCTTAAATAAAAAAGTTTGTAGTAAAATATTAGGCACAAAAAGCTATAGTATAGCTTTTTGTATATCCTATAGTATAGGCTAAACAAAATGTGTGTGTGTGTGTGTAGGCTATACAAAATATGTGTGTGTGTTGTGTTGATTAACGGTTAAAATAATAGCAAATTAAGAAATCATTTAAAGCCAGCTATATATGATTTCTTAATTTGCTATTATTTTAATCATTAATCAACACAACACACACATGCATAAACACTTCGTTTGTTTTTTGTTTTTTTAATTTAATATAATTATTTAAGAAACAACTTATTACCTCACTAGTTGAAAATCACTTTCTGCTCGAAATGATTGAGATACGGGAAACTGCATACTTGAAACTTTGCATATTTTATTCAATATACTTACTTTAGATTTTTCATTAAACAAAAATATTTCTCTAATCTTATTATGAGCTTCGACAATAACATTAGATAAAAAGGATTCCTTTTCTGATTGAACCCTATTTTCATCTAAAATACATTTTGAAATGATTTGAAGCATTGAATCCACCATGTTTAGAACATTTAACCTACGAGTTAACAAAAAGTGAAAAACCTTTTTTCTGATTTTTGCGTGATTGGCTTGCACCCTTCAGAGATCTTTCTGATTGGGTCAGCACCCCTCAAAACCTGTTTTGATTAGCTTAAGAAACCAAGCCAATCAAAAATCGCTTCTGAGGGGTGCAGGCCAATCAAAAATAATTCTGAGGGGAGCAGGCCAATCAAAAAGCGACTATACTGGAGTTTCCTAGTCGAAGCATAAGTATATACAAAATACGCTAGCGCTGAACGCAAAGTATTACACAACAACAAAGATAGTTATTTATTTATTTTTGATTTCCTTCACAAAAAATGAAATCGCAAATTTTGAGTTGAATAAACTATTTTAACAATTCAATTTTTATTTATAAAATAAATGCAACGAAATAGGAAACTTTACTTGTTGAAAGTTGACGGGTGCTGGAGCACCCTTTGAACCCCTCTGGATCCGCCCCTGTATATATATATATATATATATATATATATATATATATATATATATATATATATATATATATATATATATATATATATATATATATATATATATATATATATATATATATATATATATATATATATATATATATATATAATATATATATATATATATATATAGTTATATATATATATATATATATATATATATATATATATATATATATATATATATATATATGAATATATATATAACACAGACACACAAAATATCATTACTTTTCTATAAAACACTTAATGAAAAGTCTTGGTGCAATATTGATATCTTTTGTTAAAATTCCCTCATTGTACTTGTAACTTAGTTACACTTGATAACTTATAGTTTATAGATCATAGGGTATAGAATATAGAAAATTAAAAAAAGTATCTTTAAACGATAAATAACTAAACAAAATTAATAATCTCAAAATAATCAACCAAATCAAGTAGATATATTTAATTAACCGAGTTAACGCGTAATATTGTTAGCGCCAAGTTGATAATATTAATTTTTCTACTTATTTCTAAGGTAATTAGGACGTCTAATGTAAGTCTTAGCGACGTCAAAAGGACGTCTTAATATGGAAGTCCTAATATCGTCTTTATATTAGCGTCACAAGGACGTCCTAACAAAGACGTCTTTACCCGACGTCTTTAGGACGTCCTAATTTGGTCTAAGACGTCGCGACCTAGTTAAGACGTCCGTAAGACGTTTGATTGACGTCTGTGCCCGGTGGGTATATATATATATATATATATATATATATATATATATATATATATATATATATATATATATATATATATATATATATATATATATATATATATATATATATATATATATATATATATATATATATATATATTTTTTAGAATGCTCAGTTGCACCCGAACTGGACCATTATCCTTTTAAGCTGTTTTTTGGTGTTCAATACATCTTGATATCACATATTTGGTTGTTACGTTATCACCGTCATCCTGATTGAGATATTTTAACGTATAACAAGAAAATGACATTCAAAGATTATTATATATATATATATATATATATATATATATATATAATATATATATATATATATATTATATATATATATATATATATATATATATATATATATATATATATATATGTATAGATATATATATATATATATATATATATATATATATATATATATATATATATATATATATATATATATATATATATATATATATATATATATATATATATATATATATATATATATATATATA